GTTGGTAAAGGCAGTCCCTTGGCCGCCAAGGCTGCTGCTAAGCTGGGTCACAGCTGAGTCTCTCAGCCACAGCCTTGGAGACTGTGCTGCAGCTGGCAATGATGAAGGCTGAAACAGGAGCCCACACCCCTAGAGTTCAGGTCTCTGCCCAGTACCAGAGTACCTGTGACCACTGACCTGGCAATAGCTGTGCTGCCCAAAGTTGTGGAGTGAATGGTAGGGACAGTTCCCCAGCCACCAAGTCTGACATTCAGCTGTGTCACATCTGAGTCTCAAAGCTGCAAAGATCTGCGTAGCCTGGGGGACAAGGGTGAGCCTCAGGCCACTCCAGGGCTGGCAGTGATGCAGGCTGAAACCTGAGTTGGTCTCACTGGAGCACAAGTCTCTGCCTGATGCTGACGCTGGTCTGCAGCCTCCAGCTTAAGCTCTGACCAGCATATGGGGCTTTCAGGTACTGTAGGTGCTGGGTCTCATCCTGGCACTGGGCCCCAAGACAAAGCCCTGCCCTAGCATCCATACCCTGTTCCCCAGCAAATGGAGTCTTGCTCCCCACCTGGTATTGTAGGGATGGTGGTGGCAGGCAGCCACCGGCCCAGCACACTTCTGACTCTCCAGTCCACAGGCAGTGGGGTCTGTGGGGCTCTCCCCAGTGACAGCTTCACTGCAGCAACCCTGGTGCTGGCTCTCCAGGCTACCTACGGTTGAGACTGAATTCTCCTTCCCTCCCCCAAGGAGGGGGACTACCCCAGCTCCTTCCTGCCTTCTTTTTATTATACCAAAGCAGGCACTGTGACCTCACCTGCTTCTCTTAGCTCTTGACAAGGTGGCTTGGTGCCTGAATGACCATTCAGCTCAGTGTGCCTGTGGGGGAACAAAAGCTGTAGGGTCTCACTCAGCCACCACCTGCTCCACTTCCTCCAAATAAATATTAAGAGCTAGATGAGACCCATTATTACGTATATGTTGTATCATCTGTTTGCAATACATGATAATCACATTCATCTTGGTGAGCTGGTGCATCTACAATCACATCCTTATCATCTTTACTTCCCCTTCCCACCCCTTCCTCCAACATTGCTGTGGGTATATAAATCAGTAAAGCCACTTGTAAGCAATATGGCATTCAGACTAGCTGAAGTTATGTTTGCCGTGTTACAGAAATTTCACTGCAAGATGCATGGATGATGAGTACAGCAATGTGCATGCAGCACTCTGAGGCCTCCAGGATAAAACCCCAACTACTTGTCAGCAGTAATAAACATCTGAGGCAGTCGATGCACTGCAAGGACGATTTTACATTACATTAGCAAACGCTACACACTAAAGTCAGATAAATCTTAAAAACAGTAAAGAATGAAGGAAGCAAGCCTCAACACATTTACACTGCCATTTTTAAGCAGGTAAGAAACAAGAAAATGACACTGCATTGTGTGGCAATGCACATTGCCAAAGGAAAATTGCAGAGTGAAGGTGTGGTGGGGGGACTCACAGCCAGCTGTGCTCCTGTGCTCCTTTTTTTGACTGCCTCTTTGACCAGGTCTTTATTCAAAATAAGCTGTCCAATTTTATGTCACTTGTATGGGATAGAGATTTTGATTTTAGGAGTTTATGCAGCAGGCTGCTTTTCTTCAGCAGGTTTCTTTTCAGCTGCTGGTTTCTTAGTAGCTGCTGGCTTCTTGGCAGCTGCAGGCTTTTTCCCTAAAGGCTTCTTCAAGGGCTTCTTGGTACCAGCAACCTTTTTTCCTTTCTTCTCTTCCATGGGCTTCTTGCCTTCAACCTTCTCTTCCAATTTGGCTGCCCGTGCTGCTGCTTTATCCAGATGGATTTTGTGATTACTGGCCTGGTATTCCAGTGCATGGTCTTTGCATATGGGTTCAGCTTCAACATGATCCTCAGGTTCTTCAGAGGATTCTTCTTCAGGACTCTATGATGAATCTTCTTGCGTGGTGCCCAGAGGGCTCTTTAGATCTCTGGACTCCCGGATTCTGCTCAGGTCTGTATTGGTCATTTTGTGCATAGGCAGGTTGTAGTTACTCTTGAGGGAAGCAGCTTTACGCCAAGTGCCATACAACTCATCTAACTTCCAGAAAGCACTTTCAGTCCAAATGCAGAAGTGCCCCACATGCTCACCAGGAGCAAGTTTCAAAATATTCAGTTTGCTTACATCAAGCAGAGTAATGCCAGGGATATTTCTGACGGCCTTGATGATACCATTGTCTTCATTATAGATGATGCAAGGTCCCCTGCACTGGATGCGATGGCGGTTTCTCATCTTGCCCTTGCCAGCTCTCATTCACTGAGAGGCATAGACCTTTTTGATATCATTCCAGGCCTTTGGTTTCTTCAGAAGCAAAACGGCCTCCTTAGTCTTCTTGTAACCTTCAACTTTATCTTCTACAACCAAAGGAAGTTCAGGAACTTCCTCAATTCGATGACCTTTTGACATGACCAGTGCTGGCAAAGCTGAGGCAGCCAGGGCAGAGCAGATGGCATATTGTTTCTGAGTTGTGTTCACTCTGTGGTGCCAACGTCGCCAGGTTTTGGTTGGTGCAAACATGCGGCCTCCTCGACACATATTTCCAAAAGCACCCTGGCCAGAACGGTGGGTCCCACCTCCTCAAACCCTTGGAATTCGAGCCACAGCTCTGCCCGTCCCCCAAGACTCAGCATTGGTCTGGTGACCTGCCAATTTGCTGACAGCATAGGGCTGCCTGTTGTTTTTATGCAAGTTGGTGTGAACAAAGTGCCTTCTGCCGCTGGAAGGGTCCTGTGATCTTGATCCCAGGGACATTTGTGCCCTGTTTGCTCTACGTGAAGTCACCATGCCAGGGATGAGATCTGCTTGCTTTATTAAACTCCACCTTTTATCAAGGATTTATTTTAAAAGTTTAAAAGCAAAAGCCATGGGAAAATAAATGTGCACATGAAGGAGAACAGACGATGAAATCCCTGCACTCAGGAGCTGTTCAGCTGGGGCATGGTGAAGGGGGTGTGGGATTCGGGCTTCTCCTCCAACATGGCCACTCACGCCTCTGTGCAAGGCACGACCTGGGTGCTTTCTCTCGGAGGCAGACAGAAAGGAGGGTGAGAAATCACGGGCCCTGATGGTAAAGGGAGAAACCAACAGAGCAACGCTAAAGGGAAGAAAATGACAGCTTGTCCCATGACCTCAGGCGGGAGGCAGGAATACTCAGCCCAGGCGGAGCAGCATCTGCTAAGGCAAGGACAGTGGGTGTAAAGGCAAGGCCCCGTCCTGGCTGCCTCCAGGGCTCCACTTTGGTTCTGCTTTTCCAGAATTCATCTAGCAGGGGGCTCAGATGCATTTGGAAAACACTAGGTTCAGGCTCCTCCTAGTCCCCAACATAGTTGAACAACTTAAGATACAGAAAAGCCAGGCACAGTGGTGCACCTGTATAATCCTTGCTACTGGGGAAGCTGAGGCAGGAGGATGACAAGTTCAAAGACAGCCTAGGTAACTCAGTGACACCCAGTTCAAAAATGAAATAAAAAGAGCTGGGGATGCAGCTCAGTGGTAGAATGCCCTTGAGTTCAGTCCTCAGTATGGGAGAGAGAGAGAGACCAACTTCTGAACCAAGTGTCAAGAGGCCCAGCACGGCTCACAGAGCACTCTCCTTGGCTGTCCCCTCCCCTTCTCCTCTCTGGGCCTTGATTTCTCCATCTCTGAAAGAGCAAACTGAGTCTAGGCCCGTGGGCGGTAGCCGGGGCCAGACCTGAGCTCCGCAGCACTGCAGATGCAGCACAGGTGTCCGGGTGCCTCCGTGGAAAGGACACTTGCCTGTGACCCCTGGCTGCTCCAACTGCACAGCCCCCTCTCCCTCCCCAGCCCCGTCCAGTCCCCATGCTCTCAGCTCTGCAGGCACTGCTGGACTCAGAAGCAAATTCTCGGGAATGTGGTGTCTGCCTGTTTGGAGGGCATCTGTGAAGGAGAAAGGGCCACCGCCACAGCGATGCAATTTAATAACAATAGAATGACGACTGCCTGAGGTAGAGCAGCATGAGGCGCCAGGGCTATATCAGCTCTATCTCGTTTCATCCTCCAAAACTTCCTCTTACAGTGCACTATTTAAAAAGAGGAACCTGGCTAGATAAATGTCTCAGGCTACGCTCTAGTGCCTCGTTCAAGACTCCAGCTCCTACACTCCTGGCCCACATGGGTACAACCCTGGCTCCAGGGGCACTAGACAGTCAAAGCGAGTGTCTTCTTCCTGTGGGCTGCTGCCACTGCCCTGAGGGGAACAGGCCCAATGACCCTTCCCAGGAGCTGGAAATACCATCCAGTGCTGCCCCAGACGTGGAGCACGGCACATGGCCATCAAGTGTTTCAACCCATCAGCTCCAGTGAGAGCCTCTCCCGGGCCCCTCAAAGTCCCCAAATCCCAGCCAGCATTTCACACCAGCATCTGGAAAATGCAGCTGGTCCAGCTACTTCTCTGCGGAGGTTTTTGCAAAATCTCCCTTTCTCCTGGTGAATAAAGACGGCACAGGAGGAGGAAGTGTCCCTTCTCCATCTTCTGAGCACCTGCCCACTGTTGCTTGGGTGCAACTGATGCCTTCTCGGGACCCTACAGGAAGTTGACAGCTGCATCCTGTCTAGTCTTGAACTAAGCCTGTGCTTTACGATAGCATTTCCCTGGGGTCCTGGGCCCTCAGCGGCACTCCAGAGGAAAGGGCAAGCTGGACATTGTCCCTGCACTTTCAAGAAGTGCGAGGGACCACGTTCCAGCCTGGGCCTGAGGAGCCTGGCCCTCAGTCCAGCTGCTGATGGGCAACGCCACCCTTGCTGAGTGCCTTCCTAGCAAGTGGTCTGCAGAAAAGCAGGCCGTGCGAATGGCACAGGGGCTCTTCTTCCTGCAGAAGCTGTGTCCTCCCTGTCTGTCCTCATAAGAAGAGGAGGCAAGTGTTCAGCTCCACCCACCTAGCTGTATAAAGGAGCCTCCAGGACAGACCCAGGAAGGGCCAGCTGTGTGCTGCCCACAGCCATGAGCCTGCGTCTTTCTGGTCTACTCCTCTTCCTGGTGGTCGCATTACCTTCAGGTGAGCCAGCAGGGGTGAGAGTGTAAGGGAGGGGGTCTCGCAGGTGCCGAGGTGGGCAAGAGCCCAGGTTAGAGGTTGGGGTGGGATGCGGCCGCCTGGCCTGCACCCACTCCCCTGCTGGGCATCCACTCCATCCTGAAGACCTAATCGGTCTCGTGAGAGGGGGGAAGCAGTTGCCCTGTTCAGCCACCCAAATTCCTGTTTCACCCTCAAATTCGTGTGGGTAGCCTGGGACTCAGCCTCTCTAGGAAATGTGGTAGGAAGCGTGAAGGACTCCAGAAAGAATCACAGAGTGAGACAAGCCCAGATGTGCCGGCCTCGGGAGACGACTTCTCTCCTTTTTCTCCCCGCAGGGAGTGGCTTGTATGGGAACCAAGGCGTGAAAGTTCGCACCTGCACGAAGCTCGAGGGCGTGTGCTTCTTCGGCTTTAAACCAGGATGGACCTGGGTCGCGTACTGTCACAACATAATGTCCTGTTGCACACAGAATAAAATATTTCTACCTCCCCAGAGCAAACAACCATGACCTACACCTCATGAGGCCCATTAAAGGAATCTGAGAACGGCTAGCAGGACTGAGCTCTGAGTCCGGGGGACGGGAAGTGTGGGACAGGACTGGGCCCGGCCCGAAGAGTGTTGGAAAGGAGGCGCTGCAGCAGAAACGCATCTCCCGTTCTTTTTTCTGCCTCTCCATCTCCAAACACTACCAACTTTCAAATTCAGATTCAGCTGATGACTGCAAGTCCGAAGGCCCAAGGGCACGACACATCCTGGGCACAAAAGCAACAGCTCCGCGGTGCCAGCTCTCTTCGAAGTAGTTCCGGGTCACATCACTTCATCCTCCCAGCTCCGACTATCCCTTGTTTTTTCACACTCACAATTTTATGATTTTTGTGTACTTTTTATATTAATAAGTTTCCAGTACATAGTAATTACGTTTGTTACGGGGAGTTTGTACGCATACATACCACATCTTAACTCCTTTTTGTCCCCTTCCCTCCATCCCTCCTGCTCCCTCCAACGCTTAATCCCCCACCCGTTTGAGAAAGCTCTATTTCCATTTTTTTGATTCTCTTTTTTTAATCCTTTTTCCCTTCCTTCCCTCCCCCTTCCATCTCCTATTGCTCTTCCCACTTGAAAAGGATCTGCCTACTTCCTATGTTCTATCCTGTATTTTCCTTTTTATTTATATTTTGGGTTTCTCATACAGGGAGGAATCTTTTCCAAGGCAATCTTTTACCAGTAGTGAAAGTGGAAAAGAGGGGAAGGGGGGGGGGGGGGGGATTATCTATCTCCTCCCTATTATCGCTTTTATTTGACTCCTTATTTAAATGATATTTTGGGTTTCTCATATAAAAGAAATCACGCGATATTTAAGCTTGTGTGTCTGATTCATTTCACTTAACATTAGGGTCTCAGGGTGCATCCATTTCCCTACAAATGACTCCCATTGATTCTTCTTTATGGCACAGTAGTACTCCAAAGGTGTATAAATGCCACCTTTTCTTTATCCGTTCATGTGATGGTTAATTGTGCTGTCAACCTAACTTGGGCAAGCACCACGTAGCAGATCAGTGACTCTTTGGGCGTGTCTGTGGATGACTGACAGGCAAGCCACAAACTGAGGCGGGAAGGCCCGCCCAGGATGTGGGTGGCACCAACCAATGGGCTTGCAGCCTGGGTGAAATTTTAAAAAAAAAAAAAAAAAAAAGAGAAGGAAGGAGGACACCTCCAGTTCTCTCCATTGCCTCCCGAAGGTTGTCTCCAGTTCCTTCAGTCTTCCAGGGGGCCCCTCGGACCCTCGGCCTTCCAACAGGAACCCGCACCGGCCTGGGCCGTGAGCTCCGGCCTCCGACCCTGCCTGGCCCTGTGGTCACCGCAAGTGGGTGTCGCCACGCATGGTGGACTTGCTCAGCAAATCCCTTATATAATCCTATATATTTTATTCCAGATCTGTTCCTCTCATGAACCCTAACTGACACAGAGCCTAAGGGAGAAGTTCTGTTGACAAGACCAGCCACCCCTACCCCTGGCGCTCAGAGCACCCCCTCGCCTGGCCTGGGCAGGGGCGCCGCCCATCCGCACAAAGGCACCACTTTGACTCGGAGACCGGGCGGATGTGGCCGGGCCTGCAGTTCAGGAGGACCTGAAGTTCATGCCTGGCCCACTGGGAAGCGGTGGGCAGCAGCAGGGCAGGGGCTGAAGCCCCTGCCGTCCTCCTACTCATCTGTGTGGCCCAGCCACCCAGGCAGAAGCCCCTGCGGCTTAGGTGGTTTTTCCAGCCCTGGACCAAGAGGCCCTGGCCCGGAGACACGGGAAGGACCGGATCCCACTTGCTGAGACAGTGTTCTTTCTATGTGTGGGTTTGGATTCAGGGGCACAGGCAGTTTTTTCCCAAATTACTAAAACCCCAGCTCATCTCCCAGAGCTCACACGTCTGCTTCGTGGCACAGGAGCAGCTGCGTCTCAGAGCCCGTGGGAATCACAGCTCCTTGGGCGCCTGCAGGATGGACCCGAGCGCTGCGTGTTCACAGATGAGCGCCCCAGACCTGAGCTGCCCCCAACTCAGCCAGGCCCGGGGCCCTGGTGAGACACACAGCCCAGCCCTGATCCTGATATCCAAGATTCCTTTGCAGGAATCTTCCCAGGTTTTGGTTTTGGTTTTATTTTAAGGCAGAGGCTCACTGTGTAGCCCAGACTGGCTTCCAACTCGTGATCCTCCTGCTTTGGCCTCCCAAGTGCCGGGATTACAGATGTGTATCACTACATTGGGCTGGGATCTTCCAATTTTGACCTCTAAAATTAGAGCCGGCTGCTCAAGTAATGGCCAGTCTATCAAGTGACCTGTGACCCTAAGATTTCTCATAGCCTAAAATGCAGAAAAACTAACATTCAGAGCAGGTTAGACACTTTCCCTCCAGGCACTCAAACAAGGGGCAGGCCACCCCTTTGCTGCTTTTGGTCTGTAAAACGAAGCCCCTGCAAGTGTAGAGACTAAACTAAAGCTTCCAGGGATGGGGTCGGTTTGGGAAAACATGAATAAGGAATTCAGAAGAAACTGCACCCGCACACACACACATACACACACACCCATCCCAGGGCATACTTCCTCCCTCAGCCGGAAGGAGTGTGAGCTGTGCAGATGTGAGCCCTGGGAGGCCTTGGAGCCCGGGTTACTTCCCATAAAGAAAGGAATGAACCACAGATGACAGACAGCTACAACGCAGGTATGGGCATCACATCATCTCTCTGTACCCCGCTCCCCCCCATTCCTTCCTAGAAAAGACCCTTGCCCACCCACAAATGGTGAAATGGTGATTTGAGGCTTAATAGAGGCCTCCATCTCCTCAGAGCCAGCTTTGAATAAATCCTTTTTCCTTTTTACCCGAATATCTGGCTCCCTTTGATTTGATCAGCAGTGAGCAAAAGAACCTAAACATATGCGCCTAAGTGGCCAGTAACACTTTCAACGCAGTGTTCATGACATTCATCTACAGTGCCTTGTACAGCACTACTCTGTGTGTGTGTGTGTGTGTGTGTGTGTGTGTGTGTGCACTGACACACGTGGGAGGGGGTACCAGGGACTGAACCCAGGGCCCTCACTGCTTCCACTTCTGATTAAAAATTGAGCTTACTGGGCCAGGAATTTAGCTCAGCGGTTCCAGTGCCTGCCTCACAAGCGCAAGGCCCCAAGTTCAATCCCTGGTACAAAAAAAAAAAAAAAAAATGAGCTTACTGTGTACATTCTTGTATATATATATATATATATATATATTTTTTTTTTAACCACAAAAACAAATGCTGAGTTTCCAAATTGGTGGGAGAAATTTCACTCCCACCAGCGACAAAGGCGAGCCCCGTTGTCCTGGCTTTCAACACTGTCACTATATTGAGCCTGCATATGTGTGGCGACATCTCATTGTCATTTCAGATTCACTTCCCTAACAACCACCATGTCGTGCATTCACTGCCCACCTGGGTCTGCAGCTGTGACATGCCTGCTCACCTATCTCGCCAGTTTGTATGGGGTCCTTGTCCTTTTGTCATTGATTTGTAGGAATTTTACATTGGCATTTACAGCACATTTACAGAAATGGAGTGAACTCTGTCCAGGGCCCATGTCCATGGCCCTGGTGGGCGGCTAAGCCAAAGCCTGTGGGGAAGTCAAGGAAGGGGTCCAGCTCAAACCCCAGGTCCCCGGCCTTCCCAGCCCGCCGTTTTCCCTCCTCCCCAGCAGGCCCTGATGTTTGCACTTGACACACAGGGAATAAGAGAGCAGATGGGGAAAAGAGTACCACAAGATGGGTTCAGTTGTCAATTTCTTTTTATTTTATGAAAAAGTAAAACATTTTCATAACCAGATAATATGAGAATAACAGTAGTTACTACACTGTGTATCATTATCGTCAAGGTAGCTACTGCATACAAAACAAACCAAAAAGATCCTTACAAAAACTCTGTCCCAGTCCCCGAGGGAGAAAAGCTTATAACACTGATCTCACTTGATTATTACGCAAACAAGAGAATAACTGTGACCTGCCATAAAGACCAGACTAAATATACAGTGAAGGTGACAAAAATCATCCCAGATAATGGCCAAAACAGCTGCTATCTGTGGGGAAGTCCGGCTGTTCTGGGTGCCCCACGCCAAGGGCCAAGCGTTTTCTGGTTCGGGGCTGGGGGTTATGACTCTTTCCTGCCACCAGGTGGCAGACGTTGCCCGCCGGGTCCTGGGGGACAGGCAAGGCGCCATCAGCCTCTTTTCTGAAATCTTGCTTCCTTCCTGAGCTCCCGAAGCTGAACTCAACAACAGCAAAGTGAAGCTCCCGTTCTGTAGGACAAGCTCTAGAAATCTGCTGTATATAACTAACACTACCGACTGCACACTTAGAAGTTAGGGTGGAAAATCTTGTGTTTTTTCCACCACTTTTTTTTTAAATGTCAACTCTCGAGCCTTTCTTTACCCAAATCCCAACCCAAGCTATCACTCACCACCTCCACATGCCTCCTCCAGAGTCCTTCTATCAGAAATAATAATAATAATAATACATTTTAAAGCAAAGTAGGCTAATAAGGGCCATGCTTCGCTGTATCACGATTTCCCCGAAAGACCGACTGCTGTCCAGAATGGTACGCCGCCTGCGTTTACTGAGTGTGACGTACACACACACACACCCCTGGACACCCACTCTGAGGCCGCTGGAAATCAGGGCTGCAGGTGGGACAGTCAAGGCCTAGCAAGGGGTCAGGAGGGCCAAACCCCTCATTCCTGTCCCCACCACCAGGGGGCTCAGTCAGCTTCTTCCGGGCTTGGGCGGGGAGGGAAACTGTCCCCCGCCTTGAGGTCTTTCCCAGGCCGAGTGCGCAGGAAGCAACTTTGAGCAAAATATTCAAAAGTGATGCAGAGACATGGAGAAGTGCAAACTTGGATATAAACCTGACATCAGACAGGGAGCCAGAATTGGCATTCCACACTCCTGTCGCCCTCCCCGCGGGTCTCCCTCTGGGTGCCCCAAGGCTCCGCAG